TGTTTCGTTTATAAAGAAGTCAAACGGAGCTCAATGCGTGAATAAAATATGTCGATGTAATTCTGGCGTATATGGGTGAGAACTAATGGTAACGCGCAGAGCCTCGCGATCAAATCACTCTCGTAGCTACTTTTGTCAATAATCACTGCGATCAACTGTCGGTGGAGTGTGTGCATACAACGTAATGGATGCGACCACGATTTGCTCGGAATCTTGCCTCATATTTATATATATTTGTCTTTATTTTCAAGGCATCAGGCAGTGACGTTTGCACTCAAACTGATCCCCCAGCAGTTCCCACAGCCATTGCGTGCTCCTTTGTTGAACTTGGAAACGATCGATAATTATCCTCTCGTTCTCTTTCAGCCTTCTTTTAATCGATAGTCAAAATTAGCTAAATCGTAGAATATTTTGTCAGTTTAGATTCAGCGCGTTTGCAGACATACTAGGGTGTGCCCACTATTTTTTTCTGTTTCAAACTTTTGGTTCCTCCCGGAAAGGATTACTTCAATCTTACCTATGATAGGTAGCTCTACTGTCGCCTTACTCAATCCCTCACCCGGGACCTAGGATGCCGATTTCTATAATTGACGCCTGTGACTGTGAGATATACCTCATTTATCTCTTGTCAAGCAATATTTCGGTTGAATATAATTCTTCTAAGGTGCTGGAATTTAATTCGATCTTCAGCATTTCTTTTTGTACACTGTAATGTGTTTGTATCCTTGTTTATTTCACTCCCCGAATATCTTTTATACCTCAGTCATTTTGCGTGTTTGACGACCAAATACAACTGTCCCTCAGTCCCCGCTGTGTTGTCCGTACTGTTGGCCAACATCAACGCTTTCTATGCGCATACAACCTCGTCAAACAGTCAAACTGCAAGCGAACGTTTCAGTGCAAGCAATTTTGGGGTAGGTTACTTTGCATTCAGAATATCCGTCCGCTGTGTTCTCTCTATGTGTGTGCCTGTGTCCTAATTCATCCGTGAATGAGTTCTCCATTCAGTTTGTGTAGGATTCGTGTATAGACTGTATAACCGGATCGAGGATGGATTTTCAGAGTCTACAGTGACAGTGACGACGACGACGACGACAAGAACAATCGCATTTTCTCCTGCCACCACCACCACCACCACCACCCAAGTTACCTATACAATTGCTACTGATAATAATGATCAATCTCTGAATGCGACGTATTAATCTCATGCAACAAATAATCGGATGAATGTTTCCAACCGAGTCATAACCCTGGAGGCTAGTACTGAGATGAGCGAGGACCGATACTCACAACAAGCTAGCATAGACGAGTTGTACTATATGGTCAAAATTCAAAATGAGGAATGGTCCGATCAGCTGCCCGGTGGCCGAGTGGATAGTATGCTTGCGTTCTGTCCATGAGGGCCCGGGTTCGATCGCCAGTTGAGTCGATCGATTCGCACTGCTGATGAGACCCAACCAGGTCGAAACAGCTGTTCAGTGCTTCCCAGCTTTTCAACTCACGCCTCATTTACACGACGAATACATTATATAAAAAAATAAAATCCTCCATCACTCTCATGATCTAATAACTGCTCTTAGATCATTCTGTGACCACCTGAAGAAGAAGACGATTCTCTCCCGAGATGGTTTCTTTCAAAAGTCATAATGATCGTGTATGATAAACTACATATCTCCCTCTCCTCGCGATCCATGTGTTGCAATGAGATAAACTGATAAAAATACTGATCAGAAGAAATCGGGTAGAGCCAGATCTCCTAGCAGAAGAATGATCCGGATATGTCCAAGAGAAACATAAGTTTCACCAAATTTGTGTCCCATTTCATTTCATTCCCCCGCCCTCTAAATTTGCATTTACAAACTCATCATTACCGCACTGTTTCAAACATAGAGCATCATTATTCCTTCTCGTCTGTCGTAGAATAATACTTGCACATTCGAACGCAAAGTTGTCTGAACGATTACAGAAGATCCCGACAACTGTAACACCAAGCAGAAATTCTGTGAGCAAAGAACGCCCTTCAACAAACTCAGTTTATTGCTCTTCACCTTCCTGCAGTCAGGTATCTCAAATAAACTGAATGCATAACGGAATGAGCTCAATTTCCGTGAATGCTATAACCGTCTTCCCGATCCGAATGCCCAATCGTTTTGATTTCCCTATTCGCGAAACATGTTACAAGCGCTAGACTCTGAGTTCGTTTGGAAATAATGTGGAATGGTTGTAGCTCGATATGCGGATGTTGGTGTTGGTGTGTTCTCCGAGCTGGCGATGTTGTTCGCGCACAGCACTCCCAGCTCGGAGAACACACTGACATCGACACTGAGTTCGATTACCTGGACATCGGATCCAATGGAGTGCGTATTTCGTGCCCCACCCCGCTGTCTTGTGGTATACGTTTTGACCACCCGAAGGATCCCGTTGTGAACTCCATTAGAAAATTCACTTGTTCTGGCTTGTATAACCTTCCAATATTCCATGGCAATATCCATCCACTAGCAAATAATGCACTTTTAATTTCGTGATAAAGATTAGCCTACCGTGTACATTTGTCACGCAGACGCGGGCGATCTATGGCAGTATTGAATCGCGTTGAGTTCCAGCAGATTTACAGATTATGAGTGAATTGTTTGTGTATCTGTAGGATACAAAAATCTGTATCCTACGGCAAAACGCGATGTCCATCCTGGTCACCCTAGTGAGTAAAATAACATGTTGTTGGAGTTGCCACCACACAACTCTCGTGAGGAAGTTGCGTGATCTACCAGTTTCGCATCAACAATCCTTCGTCCAAAAGGTAATCAACGTTGATGTCTACGAAATTGTTTTGATATGAATATGTTGTTCTCGCCAAATCAGTGGCAGCTATTGTGCAAATCAAATGTCGACTTTCGATTGCAATGATGTGTCCCATTTGACTTCGTTCAGATGAGTGTAAAATCAAGTCGAGTTCATAGATTCACTTCTGAACAATCATGGGAGCCTAGAAGAGAGAGTAACTTGATTGGTGAGTAATATCTAGCTATTCAGGGTTGACTATGTAATCAGCAGTTCTTCTAGACCCGGACTGCAGACATCCAGTAGCACAGAACTCTATTGGTCGGTGACTTTAATCTATCTGCCCTCTGATGTAAACAGTTAACAGAAGTGGAAACCAGTTACTGAAAGTCAAAACTCTCCGCTCGGGAGAAGAACACAACTCAATTCGCTACAAATAGTAAGGTCCAAGGTTTTTGTATTATTGGCCCAGAATACAAAACTGTCATGCTCCTAAAGCCTTCTGCCAAACCATAAATGTGATGAGTGTTCTATTTTAAATTTCATACGTCGTTTGTGATAAAGTTACTTGTCTTGGGGTCTTTTTATTCTTTTTAATTTCTGTTATGGAATATGTGATTGCAAAAGCAATTTTAACAACGTAGTAAGTGACCAATCAAAGGGCCACGATACAATGGAAAGGTTCGATTTCGACGCGGTTTGGCTTGAGCACACAACCACGGGGACCGTGAGTTGTGCGACCTTAACCGCATAAACATCATGTTGGTGAGGTTTAATTGGACCAAATTAGCAAACCATGAATGAATCGTGTTCCGACAAAGGACAACAAGACAAGATAATGACCCGTTGTTTCCTCATCTTTCTTGTTTACAGCGCGAGAAGTTTATCAAACTTTTGGACAGTTTGTATATTGCTATTCGGATTGAATTATCCAAATATCGGGTGAGCGTTGCGAGTTTCGCGTTTCACAAACTAAAATTGTACCTTTTCTTATCCGAAAACCTTGATCAAAGCAGTTTTTACGGGCAAAAATTCATTTGTCATATGTTGTAACTGAAATAGATAACAATTATTCCTCGAAAATCTTTGTATCCCAGGTGCAGTTGTGAGCTTGTTGTGCTTCACATGAAAGATCGCATCTCTCCAACATTGAAAG